AGACTCCAGGTTTTAGTGGTTAGTTCAGATCAGAGGATGAGCTGAAAGCTGTGCTGACATTAAATGGTTAACAGGAGCCTTTTAAAGATTCCTACTGAGAGTCCTAGTGTTTAAATGTGATGTAAATTCATTAAAGATTCCATTAGAATTACAGAGGAAGCCATATTTCATTAAACAGAATGTCAGCTCCTACAGAGCTCATTATTCATGTTCCTCCTCTCCACCACCAGACTGCTCTCATGTGTTATTGAGTCGTTGCTTTGGGGTTAACAGTGATTTATAAAAGAGCTTTCATTTATAAATATGAATGTAGCGGCAGCTTCGCAGCCACCGCTTCAGAGTGGAAATCAAGATCGGATCCAACGCGCGTCCTCGAAGAATAGAGCCATTTATTTGATTTTCGTATAAACGTACAAACAAAAGCGCTCCCGCATCACGCGGTTGAAAAACTGTTTGTCCCTTCCACTCTACCTGAGCGGCAGGTGACGGCACCTATTAATCAAATCAGCTCAACGTCACGCCCACCAGACAGGAAGAGCAGCAAATAAACAAATCAGAACGAAAACAGACATATTTCCAACTAAAGATTCAAAACTAAATCAGGATAATTAGAATTTGAATAAGTTCATAATAAATTCAGAAAAAACAAAAGAGATGCAAAACGGCTCCAACAATGAATGAGAGCTCTTTTTCTCTTTTCTGTTTGACTGTTTTAACCTGCATCCTGTTGGCTTCAGCTCACATATTTTACTCTTTATGCAGGCTGCAGTGCTGTGGGTTGTCCAACATCAGCGGGGCTTCTCTGGTCTCAGCTCTCAAGTCCAAATCCTCCCGTCTGACAGAACTGGACCTGAGATACAACCACAACCTGCAGGAATCTGTCACAAAGCAGTTGTCTGAGCTGGTGGAGAGTCCAGACTATAAGCTGAAGACTCTGAGGTCAGTTTACTGAATGGAACTGTTGGAGGTCTTTACGTTTTCCTACAGTTAAACTGATGGATCTTCATCCAGATGTTTTAGTTCATGTGAGGAAACAAAGATGATCATTCTTAAATGCTCCCACTTAGAATCTGCTGCAAGCACATCAAAGCATATTCTCTAAAATCTATTGTCCCTTTTTCATTTCTTCTCAGATTAGAGCGCTGCTGTGTGTCAGAGATCAGCTGTGCTCCTCTGGCCTCAGCTCTGGAGTCCAACCCCTCTGACCTAAGAAAACTGGACCTGAGCTTTAAGAACCTAAAGGATTTAGAAGTGAAACAGCTGTGTGGTCTCCTGGGAAGTGATCTTTGCAGACTGGAGTCTCTGAGGTCAGAAACTATGTTTAGTTGTATTTCAGGATCAGTGTGATGTAAAATGATAATAAACTTTGTGTCAAACTGATGTTTCCCTGATCCAGACTGAGGATCATCACAGTAACGCTTTACTGATGCTGGTTTTATCCAGCTGGGTTCAGTACATCTGAAACTGAGCCTAAACATAAGTATAGTTGTCATTAGCATCCTAACAAGCAGCAGAGCATCAACAGGACAATGAAATGAGTCAGATGAGGAGACGACACAACGCTGTAACTGTTTGGAGGAAAATAAAAAAGACGTGCAGAGCTGAGCTGAATAGACACCATTGGAAATGGGCCTTATCTGTTTATAATGTTTTTATTATGTGCCCTTGTTTTAGCGTGGATCATAAGGATTTCAGAAAGATAGATTATTCTACACTATCCTTTCTGTGCCTCATTCTATCAAATATTCAAACATTCAAATATTAAAGCAGCAGCATGTTGTCATTAATGTGAATGAGAGCTCTTTTTATCTGGTTCGGTTTGACTGTTGTAACCTGCATCCTGTTGGCTTCAGCTCATATCTTTTACTTTTTATTCAGGTTGTGGGAGTGCAGTTTATCAGAGACCAGCTATTCTTCTGTGGTCTCAGTCCTGAAGTCCAACCCCTCCCATCTGACACAACTGGACCTGAGCTGTAACCCCATCTCTGAGTGTGTGATGAAGGAGCTGAGCAGCTTTCTGCAGAGTCCACTCTGTGGACTGAAGACTCTGAGGTCAGACTCCAGGTTTTAGTGGTTAGTTCAGATCAGAGGATGAGCTGAAAGCTGTGCTGCGCTTCATGGTAAAGTGTGTTTTCTCCTTCAGTGGTTTAGTTTGTGAAATGCTGATTACAGCAGAACCTCTACGTACGATTGTCTAAACATACAAATTTTCCAACATTTAAAGTGAAATTTGATCAAATATTTGACTCGACACCCAAAGTAAATTTTCAACATATGTCGAAGTAATAGGAAAAAAGTCTGAAAATGAAATGAACATAAATAATCTAAGTTTGGTTGAAGTTCAGGTAGTAAAGTCAGAGTAAGTAGGGGTACGTCCTGTATCTGAGTCTCCACCTCTACCTCCGTTCTCCAGTCTCTGAGATAATGGGCCAATAAAAACCCTTTTTATTGATTATTTCTTTATCATTTATTTCTTTTTACATCTCTCTTATATAATTAATTTGTTTTATTGCTATGTGTAATTATCTGCAGTAATTATTAAGGAGTTATCGTAGGTTTTTGGAATGAATGATAGGAATTACAGTGTATTCTGATGGTAATATTTGAACCCACATACCAATATTTTAACACATGAAGTAGGTCGTGAAATTAGTTAAATTGGCATGTGGAGGTTCTGCTGTAGTTGAATAAGCAGCAACCTCTGTGAATGTGTCAGACAGAAACAGATCTCCAATCACTGGCTGGTGCTTCTAGAGGTCCAGAGTTAGTGAATGTTTTTGTGTGAAACAGTAGCAACAGTTTGGAGCGGCCAGACTCCAAAAGCCCACGAATCAGCTGATCCTACTAAACTCCCTCCAACACAGCTGGAAATGAACATCTGGGACTTCAGGAGAAAACAGCTTTCATCACAGCAGCAGTTATCTTCAGTCCCATTCA